TGATAAGAAAGTTCCTTTCTTCCTTCCTTCTTTCTTTCATCATTAAAATATACTTTTCAAAAAGTTATAAATAACTCTCAATCAACATATGTGAAGCTATGTAAAAGACTTAATTAACTTAGAGGGTGGCAGGTGGCATGGCGGTTAAGGAACTGGGCTCCCACATGGCAGACTGTGGTTCAAGTTCCAGACCTGGTAGCCTGCTTTCTCACTTTCCCTCTCTCTCTTATGGTCTCGCTCTGGTCAAATTTAAATAACTGTAATAAATGAAATTAAATAAGTAATTCTTTTAAAAAAAGACTTACTTAACTCATTCATGGGGAAAACAGTAAAACAGAGAAGAATGGTATATTTGTTTAAAAAAATGCTGAAATTAGATACAAAACTGGTTAATGTCCTCCTATAGGAATTGACATTTAGAGTTATCTTTAGGGTAAAATATTTGTTATTTATTTATCTTCTCCAAATTAACACCTAACTTTACAAAATATGGGCCATACTCAATAAAAGATAGGAAGTCAAACACTATTTTGATAAGCCTTCGGTGAGCTTGTTAGCCAGTGTGGTAGCATGACCTCAAAGGGTACACAATAATCTTTTCACAAGTTTTTTTTTTTTTTTTACAGATTTTTGCTATGGAGCATGTGTGCTCACCAGAGAGACAGAGAGACAGAGAGACAGAAACAGAGAGACAGAAAGTGAGAAATCACCCCTTGGGGGGGGGATTGCCATGCCACAATCCCTTCTCCTCCATTCTCCTCTTGGGATTTTGTGCATGCATGTGCATGCACCCAGTATGTGTTTAAGCTCCTGGGTCCAGGACTTGAACCGTGGTCAACTATGTGGGAATCCAGTGACGTAACCATTAGGGCAACTGTTAAGTTCCTCTTTTTACAAGATTTAGATAATTTTTCTTAATTCTTTATTTTAAATTTCCAAACGCCTTTAATATTTTCCTTTTATTCCCCCATGCCCATTCATGAGTTAAGTAAGTCGACACATTTGTTAGAAGCCATGGGGATACAAAGATGAAAAGGAGATCTACAGAGTTCTAACTTCTCTTGCTCCATCCTGCTCTCTTCTGTAAGATGATAACACTACTTCCCAGCCAGATCTGGTGTGAGGGGTGAGGGAAGCCTACCATCTGCCTGAGAAAGTAAGCATCTTTCTAAGCTGTTTGGAATGTGAGGTCCATTTAAATTTTAAATGGCCCTGAGCAAGGCATGAGCCTAAGACTTTGGTTATGCCTACAGCCATATAAACTCACCTGCAAAAGGTTATAGATTTTTACTGTGTGGTTCCCAGCCTTTCTTCATCCCAATGTCCTCTAGTTCATGAAAGGTAAGGTCTAGCCTTAATCGTTCTTGCCAAACAACTCGTAGCCTCCCCTCTTCTTGCTCTTTCCTTTGCTATAAACCAGCCAGGGTTACCATTTTGATGAGAACATATCTGGGAAACCAAGGTTCATAAAGGTGAATCTGCTGTAAGCCTTGGTTTAAATAAATGACTTTTATTTCACTTATTATGCTGCAGTATTCTCTTTTGGTCGACTGTGCCTGATTTTTGAGTAGCACCTTCTCAGGATTTCCTCTAGGCCTTTCATCTGACTGGAACGCTCTGACAGCTCTTGGTAAGTCTGCTGTTACTCGATAGACTGCCCCACAAGAGAGGGAGTAGATGTTATTTATTGCTCACAAAAAATGGCCACAGCCAGGAGGTAGAGTTCTGGAGCAACAAGTAAATTTGCCTAGCTATTTACCACTTTTAGTTTTTGCCTCTACATTCATGAGGCATTTCAAACTACACATATCCAATATTGTATTTATCATTCATCTTTCTCTGCCCTCTACCATTCCCACCTCCTCAAAAGTGGGAATGTTTTTTGTTTTTTTTTTAAACAAGTAATAACTGTTATTCCATTTTGTTTGAACATAATTACATGACAAAGAACTTCCAAAGTAGCTCTTGTGATGGACAGAAAATGGTGACAGTGGCTCATTATTTTCCTGTTTCCAGTCAGTAGTTTTGTTAATTATACTGTGCTTTGTTACTTTCTGAACAAATGACTAAAGGGCATGAACCAAAGATGATGGTTCCAATTGCGTAAGTTTCCTTATTGCTTTTATACTTTATAAATATCTCTACAGACAAATTCACTGAAGCAGTGTGAGACTCAGAAGTTTGAGGAGGACAGGATGAATTTATCACAAATCTACCTTGCTGTGCAGCTGTCTCGTATATGAGATCCTGGGGCAAAGCATTTATGGCACTAGTAAAACATGATTCATTGGCATATTGTCTAAAAAGAGCTTTGTACCTAGAATGAACAAGTTTGGGAAAATCTTAAAAGACTTTCTTCCATATCTGAAAATGTTTTTGATCTGTAGCAAAAATTTTAAAAGTTTTTTTTTTTTAATTTAAAAGTTTTTGACAGATTCAAAATGAAGACAGCATCTTCTTTTATTTTAATTTCTTCTTGCCTGAGAGTGTGCACACTTGTAAGAGACAGAGAAAGAGAGAGAGAAAGAGAAAAATAGAGAGAGAAAAAAGGAGAGAGAAAGAGAACACCACCGTGGGATGTGGTCATGTTGCAATCCTTTTTCCTCCATTTCTTCATCCCCTCAGGATTTGGGGCATGTATGCACATGCACCCACTATGTTTTTTCACGTTGCCAGGGACGGGATTCAAACTGTCGTCAGTCGTAAAAAAAAGGATCCAGGTCCTTATGCACAGCACTCAAACACTGCACTATAGGGCTGACCTGAATGCAGAATCTTCTTAAATTATTCTTATAAAATCTTTTGGTTTGAAGTTTGATTAGTAAGAACACAATGTGTTGTTCCAATTCTTCATGTGGGTTCCTCAATCTACTCTTTATTATGACTGAATTGGTGCCAGAAAAACCTAATAAATCTTTTTTTTTAAACAGAAGAACATATAAATTTTATTTAGTGACTTTCATATGTACATAGGAACCCTCACAAGAAAAATGAGAGCTCAAAGGAGAGCAAAAACAGAGTATATACAAAAGCAAAATCAGTTAACCCTGAAAGCTTATACAGAATGTCGGGAAAAGAGTAGTAAAGGGCGAGAACATAACAAGACAAAGGAATTTCAGCCTGGGCAATTAATTAAGGAAGAGTGACTCACAGCGTAAAAACAGAGATGATTAATGCGCAAACGGCAATGTATCCACGTACTTGAAATGGGGTCCACGTGACTTGGGTGGTCTTCTTTTTAATAACATGTTGAGGTGGAAAAGTTGATATTCTGCTTTTATTCATGGGAAGAATGTGCAAATAGGAATGTTTTTATGTGAGACTTATGCGTTAGATGCAATTAAAATAATAAAATAAAAAATAAAAATTAAGCATGATTCTTTTAAAACCTCTTTGTTTAATGTTAAACACACCAAATAATTCTACAGACATTAATCTTGATTATTTTCCTTTTAATATTTTTATTTAAAAATACTTGTAGGTATTTATTGGCTCAGAAGGCTGTAATATTATTTCCAAATTCATCTAGCCAATGTATTCTCTTTATACTTGCATTAACTGACAATCAGGTTATTAATTTATTTAAAAATTCTTGAGAATTATTTTCAGACATACATGAATGGACTTTATAATCATCATTAATCCTTTAATTAATTAATCCATTAATTAAGCCATGTCTGGGATCCCAAAGACACCCTCAGGTTCAACAATTCTCTCAAACTCAGAAAGGCTGTTACATTTACAGTCAAACTTACACAGTGTGGCCCAGAAATAGGTGAACAGAAACAGGCATTTACCATAAATCACAGTCTTACTATAAATTCTCTGGTGTGGCTCAAGGTCTCAGGTACAGTAAGACAGTCATGAGAAAGGATATTCCCAAGGCTCCTAGGTTCTCTCCCAGGAGCAGGTCAAAGGCTAGTCCTAGCTTTGCAATGTGCAGGGTTCACACACCATAAGCCTGCTGAGTTAACCTGCTACTGAAGACTTACAGAATTTAATCTTTCAACACAATGCTTATGTGAGGGTTAGCAATGCATCTGAATGACATGGCTTGTATTGCTGATGTTGTTAAATTATTAGCTGTGAAGACACCCAGGAGATACTAGTCATTGATCACACGGAGATTCAGTATGCCAGAAATCACACTGAAGTGGGCATTTAGGTACAGGAGGAGGCTGAAAAGACAAAAGAGAATTTCTTAGTTTTTATAGATTCTACAACTTGCATCATTCACTTGCTCCTCATTCCCAGTACCAAATTTCCAGAAGTCATTTGAATGTCCTACAGGCCTGTTTTGAGTATTTAACAGACACATGCACCCTTCCCTATAAACTAGACACTTCCGAGCAGCTCTCAAGTACATCACGTACATACTGTGACTGGATTATTTACAGTTCACTTTTTTCTCTAGTGTGTTGGCCTTCCTGAATAGTGAAATAATGAGTATTACTAAGAAGTTATTGTGCTAGGGGAACCAGAAAAATCAGAATCCTATTCCACCTAGTCACTTCTTCAGTCCTTGCTGATCCTAAGGAGCTATATGTACACAAGAGAGGAAAAACGAAAGTAAAAAAGAACTAAATACAAAATCCAAATAAAGGCGACTCTCTGCTATTAACAAGGGTTTTGGAAGCAAACTCCAGTGCAGAGCTCCAGAAAACTGGGCAGGATCACCTAGAGAACTCTTTCCATGGTTGTTCATTCAGCAAAGTTTTATTGAGTGCTGACCGTGTGTTAGGCATTGCTCCCTGTGATACATGTTGTCTGTGATCACAGCACTTTTTTATGGCGACCACAAGGTGGCAGTACAACCCAATTAATACAAGGCAGTAATGGCGCCTCTTTGTGAACAAGTCCGTTTTTCCTCCTATTTTCGCGTCTCCACACAAAAGTAATGTTTCTAAATGGAATACTCTGTCCTTTGTTCTCTTAGAGAAATTAGCTACTAAGAACATTTCCTTCTCTTTTTCTCATTTACAGCCCTGAGATAGGGTGGAATCTGGGCACTTCCTCTGCTGCTACAGGTGGGCCTCAGCTGCATTTTATTTTCAGCACCTACGTTAAAAAAAGTTTGTTTAGGTGAGTGATGGATATGTTAGTTAGCTTGCTTTAATCTTTCCGCAATATGTACCTGTATCAGAACCTTACAGTGTGCCTTATAAATAGGTACAGTTGTAATTAGTCAATTTTTAAAAAGTTGGTGAAACACATCCAATTATTAGGGAAGTATTTCACTTTTTGAAGAAATGCACCTAAAGCGGTAATATTGGTATTTTGTTCCTGGGAGATTTTTTGAGGCATTTTCTGCTTGAGGTCCATAGATAAACTTAAATTCTATTTTTTTTTTTCTCTTTCCTTTGGTTTCAGGAGCCCTCGCATCTGGATGTTGAGCTTAGTGATGTCTAGTGGCAGCGCCGTAATTGCACACGGCTACACCCTGAATCACCTGTTCTGCACATTCTGTTTCTTCATTTTCTGACAGACTTTGAAGATATTGCCCTATTGCCACACAGACTCCAAAAAGGTAATTCTTAATTAATTAGTGTTTTTACAGGAAAAACTCGAGTATTCTGCCCTGGTCAATCTACCTCTCTTTCTCTTTTTTTTTTAAGAGGTTTTTGCTATAGGGTGCGTGTGCTCGCCAGAAAGAGAGAGAGACAGAGAGACAGAAAGAGAAAAATCACCCCCCAGGGGGTATGGCTACACCACAATCCCTTCTCCTCTCGGGATCTTGGGCACACATGCACACGGGCCTGGTGTGATTTTAAGCCACCAGGTCTGGGACTTGAACCGCGGTCGACTACATGCAAATCCAGCGACATAGCTATTATTCCAACTGCTGGTCCCCAGTCTACCTCTCTTTTAAGCAAGGCTCCTTAGGGAAATATATCTATGAAGGAGTCAAGAAAAAGCTAAGCAGCAAGGTGTTTGGCATGTGGCTCACAACTCCTCCACATTAACAGTTGTTTCCATCTTACTTTCTTGCCTTACCTGAGGTCTGGCTCTCTTTCGTCAGTGCTTATAGTCTTGTGGCCTCTGAAGGGAGGACCATTCCTGAATCAGCATTCCGTATTTAAGCCAAGGGTCTCTATTTATTGAGCTTTTACCTTCCATAATTTCAGACTTTCTGGCATGCATTGAAGACTTCAGTGTATTTTGAGCCCTGACATCATCAGCCAGTGTCTCTACTTCTACTTGTTCTTTTACAGATTTTTAAAAAAAATTATTTTAGGGACCAGCAGTTGGTGTAATGGCTATGTTGCTGGACTCCCATGTAGTTGACAGAGGTTCGAGTCTTGGACCTGGTGGCTTAAACTTACGCCAGGTGTGTGTGTGTGCCCAAGATCCTGAGAGGAGAATGGAGGAGAAGGGATTGCGGTGTGGTCATCCCTCCTGGGGGGTGATTTCTCACTTTCTGTCTCTCTGTCTTTCTGGCAAGCGCATGTGCCCTATAGCAAAAATCTATAAAAAACTATTTTAAAATAATTTTAAATTTAATTTATTATTATTTTAAATTTGTTATAGGGCATGGGCACTCACCAGAGAGACAGAGAAAAGAGAGAGAGAGAGAGAGAGAGAGAGAGAGAAGGAAAGAGAGAAAACAAGCCTCCACATCCAGCACTCAAACCACAGTTGGCCATGGCAGTTCAGCACCTTAACTACCAGACCATCTGCTGCCCCCGCTTCCACAGCTTTTTAACTGCTTCAGTTGGAGAGAGCCCAGATCATGTCTTTCTTATTCTTTGTTGTACATTTTTACAACCTATTACGTAGTTGCCAGCTATTAAACAGTTATTGGATTAGAACAATTTAACTGATTATTATCTGGTGTGTAGTTCCTAAACTAGAATTACCTAGTAATTCTATTACTTGAATTAGGCAAGCAATCTTTAAACAGGGGTACCAAATGTAGGCATGTACAGTTACAAATAACTTAAAGAGAATAAATACATTTCCAGATAATCAATTTCTTTATATTCTTTTCTAAAATTGGTCTGAGAGCCAGCCTGTAATCAAGGAGTCAGGCTGGTGTGTCTTTACCTCCTCCACTTTCACAATTATCCTTCTCCTGCTTTAAAAGGTAAAGCATGCTTCTCCTCCATGCAGAGAAGATGCATTGCCCTGATGCCCCGACCCGCGGGACAGTCGAACAGGTTCCTTGGGGGAGGGAGTGAGAGATGGGACAAACACACGCGCACACACAATAGGAGGTGCTGATCAAGTCTTCTTCCATCTACTTCCATTTATTGAGGAGAAATGGCGAGTTATATACAGCTGGTGGGAACCAATTGGTTGCCTGAAATGCAAATGAGATAGAACAGCATGAACCAATCATTAATGTGGGTGGATCTCTCCCGTTGCCTAGAAACCCAACCACTTCCGGGGAGAAGGGTTGGTCACATGATTTCTGAGAGATGGTTTGCTCAGTGAGGAAGTGAAGCCTAATGGTTTCCAAGATGGTAGATAGCTCAAGATGGCGGATAGCTCAAGATGGTGGATAACTCAAGATGGCTTCTGTATGCAGTGCTCGCCACACCCTGATGCATGAAAACCTCTGGGAAATCAAACAGAGGGGTATTTGAAATAAGGTAACAGTGAATGACTCTATGGAAGCAGCAGATGGCATAATGCTTAAGCTGGACTCCCACATAGTCAACTGCAGTTTGAGTCCTGGACCCAGTGGATTAAAACATGATGGGCACGTGTGTGTGTGTGTGCCCAAAATCCCGAGAGGAGAATAGAGGAGAAGGGATTGTGGTGTGGCCATCCCCTCGGGGGGGGGTGAATTATCTCTGTCTCTGTCTCTTCAGAGAATGCATGCACCCTATAGCAAAAGTCTCTCTCTAAGAAAAAAAAAGGGAATGACTCTAATATTGAAAAACCATTTTGCAAATAAAGTGGTTTATGAGTCTTTGTCAGCTGATTATTAGGCTTTTGATAAAAGATTATGTGACATTTCTTTAAATTTTTAAAATGTATGTAATTGACAAATAATGATTATATGTATTTATGAAATATGATGTGATATTTTATATATGTATACATTATAGAAAGATTAAAAATAATTGACATATCAATCACTTCACCTTATTATTTCTTTTTGTAGTGAGAATGTTTAAACATCTATACTTTTAGTAAATTGAAAATATATATTATCCAGTTATTAATATTAACTATAATTAATATAATTCATTAATGGTTGCCATGCTGTGCAATAGGTCACTAAAACTTATTCCTTTTGTTCAATGGATACTTTACTCTTTTTTTGTTTTATTTTTTCACACATTTTATTGATTCACAAAATATCTAATTAATCTAAATACTTTCAATAGCAAGTTCAGTTGATATCTGCATATCTGTGAACACATGTTGACTTTAGGCATGAAACACTGTGGGTAGAAGGAATATACTATAAAGTAGCATCTAGCTAAGGCTATGTAGCTTACTGTGGTCATTAAATAGGTATTATTTAAAGTATATTTTTTAATTTCAAGAAAGGCAGTTTTAGCTTTAATAAATCAAAATAAAAAGATGTTAAGAGAACTTTACTTAAGACTTAAAGCCAGAAAACAAGTTAGGATTCTATTTGAATAGTAAGTATATAGACCTGTCCACAACTCAAGAGAAGACAAAAATCCTTAACTTTGGAAAACAAAGCATAGAAGGAGATCAGTAATGTTTTAGTCAAAAGTCATAAAATTCTATTTCACCAGTTCAGTCTCATGCCCTTAATCTATCTTCTGTTGTGGTCAGATCTTTCCATTTAAGTTCTGGAATATAACGTTCTACTTCAGACTTGTTCCTACCATTAAGTTGGCCATTTTCTTAGTTGTTTTAGAACTCTTGTTTTTGTGTGTCTGATTTTAGTTTTCCTGCTAAACTACTCCCTTCAGAACTTCTTGGAGAGCTGGTCTGGTCTTGGTAAATTCTTTCAGGTTTTTTTTTTTAACCTGAGTATGTTCTTTCTTTTCTTCCCATATCAAGGACAATCTTGTCAGGTACAGTATTCTTGGTTGAAATTGCTTTTCCCTTAACACTTTGAATATATTTTCCCATTCTTTCCTCACTCGCATTGTTTCCTATGAGAGGTCTGCTGTTAGCCTGATGGGATATCCTTTGTAGGTAACTTGATGTTTCTCTCTTGCCAATCTTAGTATCTTGTCTTTCTCTGTGGTTTTGGTCAGTCTGGCTATAATGTGTCTTAGAGAAGATCTTGGGTTGATTCTATTTGGGGTCCTTTGTATTTCTTGGGACTGGATCTTTGAGTGCCTCTCTAGGTTTGAAAAGTTTTCTTGCAGGAGTTCATGGAATAGATTATCAATTCCCTTATTAGTCTCTTCACCTTCTGGGATACCAATTATCTGGATGTTTGGACGTTTAATGGTACCTTGTATTTCTTGTATATTATTCTCATTTTCTTGGGCTATTTTCTCATTCTTTGTGGTGGATTTTACTAGTCCAGCCATTTTGTCTTCTACATCTGAGATTCGATTTTCTGTATGATCTCATCTGCTTTTAATACTTTTTTTTTGGCTATTGCTTCTAATACTTTAAAGGGAGGTTTTGACTTCCTGTAATATATTCTTCATTTCCAACTCTTCCATTTGATTCTTTTTTATGGTGTATATTTCCTCTTGCAGCACTTGCAAGAACTTCCTCATCTTCTGGAACTCATCGGTTCTTTTCTTCTGGAGCTCATTCTCGCTCTTCTTTTCCATCTCTGTTAGCTTTGTCACTATGATTATTCTTAATTCTTTATCAGACATTTCCGTGAGTTCCTTTGTACTGTATGTGGATGAAGAGAAGCTATTCTTTTCCCTTGGGGGAAAGGTATTTTCTTGATTTCTCTGACTTTGCAGTGATTTCTAGTCATCTAATGTGTTACTCACTTCTTCCTAATTTCTAGAAGTTCAATCTGAGTGATCAGAGGTGTGCAGGAGGAGGTGGTATGCAAAATCTTTGCCATTCTGTTTTCCTCCCTTTGTGCTAAGGATTCAGTGGGAATTGAGGAATATGTTGAGCCTAACTATTTTTTTTTGCAAGGTTTTTGCTGTAGGGCACGTGTGCTTGCTAGAAAGACAGAGACAGAGAGACAGAAAGCGAGAAATGACCCTGCATGGGATGGCCATGCTGCAATCCCGTCTCCATTCTCCTCTTAGGGTCTTGGGCATGCACAGACACGTGCCTGGAGTGAGTTTAAGCCACTGGGTCTGGGACTTGAACCACAGTCGACTATATGGGAGTCCAGTGACATAGCCATTATGCTAACTGCTGGTCCCTGTTGAGCCTAACTATTCAGATACTTGGCTACATTTCACTTAGACCAGTCTAGACACTCAGTGTGTGGAGGCTGTGCAGCAAGTGATGTGGTAAAAGAAAAAGAATAAGAAAACAGAGAGAGAGAGTGAAAAGAGAAAAAAGAAAAAACAACTAAATATTTTATTTATTTATTTAAAAAAATGAAAACTATGTGATGCGCAAGTATGCCATGCAAAAGCACTAGATCTCAGCTGCCCTGGAGAA